ACGAAGTACACTGCTGAGGGGAGCAGCGGGCCGGTCAGGAGAGGTCTGCCCCGCCATGTGGTCACCTCCGGGGCAGGCAGGAATCGAACTCATGAGGAAGCGGCCCTAGATTCTCAGTGCTGTGCTTTAATCCACTGCACCACCAGGGAGGGCCCCTTCAATTAACTTTTATTGTAAAATTGTTTTCAGTTTTTTACCTTCTCTAACTATTAATTAGCTGTTTTATATGCTCCATTCTAGTTTGGAGAAGAAATGAAGTTGTAGGCAGATTTTCTTCCTTGCTGTCTGTTGCTCTGTCTCTATCTTTCCGCACAGACACACACATTATTAAACTTTTGAAGAACATTACGTTCTTTTCCTCTAGGCTCTGCTAGATGTTTCCTTGAAGACCCATCAGTTAAAATGTCTATTTGATTTAACTCAACTGATTTTTTTTAAGGCATTTAAACTTCTTAATCATTTAGAATAATCCCATTTTCAGTGAGGTGGTAACACCTGTGGCAGATTTCAAGCACTACCTTAGGGCACTAGCAATCTAAACTACAAGTTTTCCATTTTAGGGGAAGCATTTTTAATGTAAGCCCTAAACAAGTATAACCATAATGATTGTAGGAATATTTTCATATTGTGATCGAGCTGTTGTAGCGTTTAGAAGGTGGCCTTTGGAATATTTACTGAAATTAAAATTGGCAGATTTTCTAGAATAATAAGTCAGCATCTTTCAGGATTTCAGAGTTTCAGTGGAGTTTTCATTTCTTTCTTTTCCTCCCAGATATGTGTCACAAAGATGTCTACACGGAACTGCCAGGGAATGGACTCAGTGATGAAACCCCTGGACACAATTCCTGAGGATAAAAAAGTCAGGGTTCAGAGGACACAGAGCACTTTCGATCCATTTGAGAAACCAGCTAATCAAGTAAAGAGGGTGCATTCTGAGAACAATGCTTGTATTAATTTTAAGTCCTCCTCCACGGGCAAAGAGTCCCCTAAAGTTCGGCGGCACTCAAGCCCCAGCTCGGTAAGTGCAAGTCTTCTTGTTTATCAGTGGGTAAACATAAGGAATATTTCTCTTATAACAGTATCGTGCTGCGCTGGATGACAGCAGGTGTCTTTATCAGTGCATTATTATGGATTTTTCTCCCTGGGTGGTTTAATGTTGAGAGAGAGAAGAGAGTGGAAAGAGAGTAGCTATACAGACTGTTCATAAACACCCAGCAGACTAATGAGAAATGACTTAGTTATTGGAAAAATCATTTTTTTCTGGTTGTTTTTCATTAACGGAATATGTAATTAAAAATCCTTTGGTATTTCCAGTCGTTGGAGAGGATATTGAACTGAGGTTGGGGTAGTAAGGATAGTTTTGAATTTGGCAAATTTACAGTGAATTTCATTTCAAATAAAGACTTTGTTAGTTGTCTTATTGCAGTGTAATTGTTTAAAAATTTAAAAAACAGATATTAGAAAATATATATTAAAAGAGAAATCCTATTCTTCATAATGGAGCTTTCTAAACTCAAACCAAACTAAAGTTAATTCTTCCTTTTTGACCTAAGGAGATATAAAATTTTTGAGATATGATTTTTGACAATAAACTCCTATTTCCAAAACCGACCTGCATATAACATGGTTAAAAAAATAACCATATGATTTTTAAATTTAATAATTTTCACATTTAACCTATACTTGGAAACTTCTAACGTAGATACTTGGAGAGTTTAAATGGTAAGAGAAACAAACTAGGAATTTTACATTTGTCATTTTGCTTAGAAATATGCCATTTCATAAATATTAAATATTAAATTTTATGAGGGTGAAGGCAGAACAAGAAATGGCACCTTGCTAAACGAGTTTCGACTTTTCAATTTAATTAAACTTTATGACACTATACAGATCTTATGTCATACTTTGTCTTAATTAAACTAAAATAAATATTATTAATACAGCATTTGTGAGGAGATATGGTAGTCTGTTTTCTTCTTGAATTGGCCCCCGTAATCTTATCTATGATTATGAGTTAATGTCTGTCTAGATTACATACATATTACTAACTCCTCAGAGAACTTTTTGGTTCAGTATTATTTAGAAGAATGGAGTCACTGAAACTGATTAAGCCTGTATTAGTCAATCTATACATGACATAGAAATTGGCATTTCAGGTATTTGCAATGAGGCAGTATAATACTGAAAAACAATTTAAATTTAAGCAGTCATCTGTATTTTATCTGCAATCTAGTACTAGTCTTTTGGTACTCAAATTTTGAGTCTTCAACCCTTTGTCTTTTGAGCACTTCTTCACCTCCTGGTCCTACAAGATGCCCTTGACTTGACTTGACTTATTTTGTATTTTCCCAGCCCTTTTCTCCCATTAACCTTGATCTCTTTTATTGGAAAATGGTATTTATGTGGGTACTGGGTAACTCATTGCTGCTAGGGACCATGCAGTTTAAGAACGTCAGTGTGCACAATACATCAAAATATAAATAATAACAGTGGGATTTCAATATTTATTTAAAATAAGGGATTAATTAATATACTTGTGAAAGACATTGAGACTTGACTATTGAATGTGTTTTGTATTTCTCTTTAAAGTCTAACTTAGTTTATATTAATGTTTGAACATAGCTTAAAGATCCAATTGAGGATGCTTGGAGATTAGCAGTGGCAAAGTTTTTTGATCCCTCATGTAATGTGAGCAAATAGTATAGTAAAGCCAAAACAGATGACTGACAAAGGTGCAAGGTATTTCCATGAACCTCAAAATAGGAGTTAGAGCAACAACCATGAAAAGTTTTCATAACTGTGTAATAGAAAGTATGAAGAAGAAAGCTCAGGAAAGGCAGAGGGACTAGTGTCTCTTTCAGAGTCAGGAATCCCCCAAGTTGCCATAAATACCTAATGGCAGCTCATTGGGTAATTCTTCGAACAGAGACAGCAATAAACAGCCTTTGGTGGCTCCTGTGAGTGTCTGAATGCAAGGAAACTAGGGAGTGATATCAAGCTTGTCTGTTGGTCTGTCTCTTATGACGTCTCTAGAATGTCAAACTGAAGCATCTTTTCAGGACAAGACCTTTCATTGAATTACAGTGCTGGAATAAACGCCTGAGAAGTACTGATTTAATAAGGACTAAGGAAAGGGATGGTCTGGAAAGAAGTGTTGCAGCAGAATAGATGGGAAAGATCTTAGTGTGTGTGAGATTCTTTATATTTTTAACTTCATGAAGCTAGAAGTGCAATCTTGGCTACACCCTTCTTAGACTATTAAAAACATTGTACATAAAAATAACCAACAATGAGAGAAGTTAGTCAAATAGCAGGTTATATAATTCACATATAAACCTTCAAAACCTTTATAAAAACAAGCAAGAATCAGTATTGAAAAGTGGTAAGCTATAAGCATTTTTTCTGATTACTATGTGAAGTTTTAACATCATGATAATCTAGTCATTGAGAGAAAACTTCTCTTTTAGGATTACTCGCTTTATTAAATCAAGGAAAAAGAAAGATTTAGGAATCATCATTTGGCAACCCCTGACGAATTAGCACATCTTGGTAATGATTGGCAGTACCTGATAGAATCACCAAAAGAGAGATGTTCTGATGGAAGTATACAAAACCTACCAACAGAATTAAATCTGAATCTGATCAAGTCTGTGTATAACCATTGGTGACAAGGTATTTCCATGGTGCAAAGGAACACAGAAAGGGAGGGTTTTCTTGGTTGTATTCCTATCCCCAGTTGTGTTTTGTTGGCATTGGCATCACCACACTGATAAAGAACCAGTTGTGGTCAGGCTGCACAATGCAGGATGGGGCTGAAGAGCAGGCTTCTGGCCTTTCTGTTGATAGAGTAATCCTACAGGATCAGCTACGTGGGATGGGAAGACAAAGAGAAAAGGATGGGTGATACTAAAAATGTGCTTATATCAGCTAGGGCTTTGGGGATTACGAGTCTGCTCCCCAGGTATTTCTTACCTGCCTGATGACCAAGTGTTGTAATTGAAATCATATCCCAGATCATGGCAGGTCTACTAGACTTAAATGGCCAGTCTTATTGACAAGGCATTCCACTGATCAGTCTCTGGGGTGCTCCGTTACTCATCAGCCAGTGAGTGACCCCTTGGGTATTCCTCATCTTAGGATGAGGATGCACACCCACTGTCCCAGTATGATCAGGGGTCCTGTTGATCTTTAACTTGAGAGGAGCCTTGTAGAGTTTGGTATATTTACATTCTTTGAGATCATAGAACAAATTGACTGGTTTGTTCCGATCTTGTACTGGAGGCCAGGCTGCACTTAACCAAAATGGTGGCTGAGCAGGGCGTTTAAGTCTGGCAGACCTACAATGTTTCACCTATATTTTGATTTTAGTTAATATATAGTATTTATAATCTTGTGTTGATGTAAATACTAATCAGTGCAAGGCCACACAGTGTGCAGTGATTAAATTTCCTTCTTTGAATCACTTTTTGATTTTCCTCATAATTGCTACCTCTTTTCATTTGTTTATCTTGCATGTAATTAATTAGTAGAATTTTAATCACAGATTGAGATGTCAAACTGTTTGATAAGACCTTAAAACTCCACTGAAACAAACCAGAATCAGGTAACCTATTGCTTTTTCTTCTCCCTCTGATTGTCCTTGCAGTTCTCCACCTCCATTATGCAGTCTGTGTTGGCTGATCTCCAATTTGCTACTATGAGGCTTCTTTTCATCCCTCCAAAGTAAATTTACCACTCTTTTCTAGACAGTTAGTCTGAGATGATCAAAAAAAGGGCTCAGATCTCCAAGTTCTCTAAATGAACTTTTTTGTGCTTCATTTTCTTTCAGTCTCACTCTTCACCTTCATTTATTTCTTCTGTGCCTGATGTCCCATTCCTGAGCCTTTCTGGTTACAACCTTCTAAAGAGAATAAACTTCTTCTGGGCATGGGGAGGGGTAGACGTCTGCTGGGAGAATAGGAGGCTGTACCTGTTCTTCAGCCACTAACTGATCATTTTGTCTTTAGTCCCTCCCTGAAGTTCAGCCTCCAATTCTTGAGTGTTTTTGGTATTCTGCACTTCAAATTGACTGTTCACCTTTTGTCATCCATGTGGCTTCCATCTCTAACTTATGTTTGTATCTTGTCTGTTGTCTTTATTCAGTCTATTTATCCTGTATTGTTACTATCCTTTTGGTACAGATTTTAAGGCATAGAGATAAATACATATGTTTAAGTCTCCATGTTTACTGGAAGCTTCCACTGTTTCTCTCCTTTCATGTTATTAGTTTCTTTCTGTGTGGGCTAACTCTTTCCTGCAGGAGGGGTAATTATCTTTATTTGCAGATTTATGATATCATATCTGTAAAATCCAAAAGAATCAATGGAAATACAATGAGAGAAGTTAGTCAAATGGCAGGTTGTAAAATTAATGCACAAAACCTTTATGTATCAGGACCCTTAATTGCTTTGTGTGGAAACTGCTTTGTTTCTTTTAATTATAAGAATTTGCATTCATGTAATACTTTTGGAAAATGTCTTTGCTCTTTTCTTTGAAAACTGGGTTTTTTTTTTTCTTTGCATGATGCTACAATGTTCTGTTATTTCCAGAACCCTTTCTGCCAATGGCCTTTTTATTCTTTATCATGATGGGGTAATTTATTGTGCTCATTTTCCTGGAAAGACTGATTACCTGTGGGTTCCATCTTGGGTGAAAATAGAGGCAGTAACTCTTCCTGTGTAACATTTACATCCTACCCAATCATAATTGAGTTTGGTTACTTCATACCCATTGGCAGAAGAATTCTGTGACCATAGTTTTGTTATTATAAAGATAAAGTCTGACAAACATTAAAAGAGACTTTACTTCAGGGCTATCAGAAGTAATATCATATCTTTATTGTTATTTCCCTGAAAGTATTGTTTATTTTGAGTTAGGATTCAGTGGTACGAGGAAGGTGGAAGAAAGTGATGATAAGTGGTACTAGGAAGGTGGAAGAAAGTGATGAAAAATGAAAGTGCTTTCCAGTTTTTAATGGAA